GCCGCAGCTTTCCTCGATCACCCGCTTGACCTGCACGCCCTCCGATGCGGTGGCCGGGGGCCGGGCTGAGCCGCTGCCCTTGGGCCTGCCCCGCCCACGCCCTGTCCCGGCTCCTGCCTGGGCTTTGGCCTTCTTGGGGGGCCTCTGCTCACGCCGCGAGGGACTGCCCCGGCCCGTCACCGTGAAGTCGAAATCGTTGGGGTCCAGGGAGGTGTCTCCTACCTTTTCGAAGTAGGCAATGAGCTCCACCTTGGAGCGGAAGGCCTTGCCCTGGGGGCTGTGGGGGCGAGGACAAGAGTTAGGAAGAGTCACCCCCAACGGGCACAAGGGGGGCCAAGCTGGAGCCAGTATGTGCAGGAGCCGGCGTTAAACAGGCTCCCTGGGCACCCGCCTGGAAACGGCCCAGCAGTTAGTGCTCCAGGACCGCGTCTCCCAGCAGCCCATGGGAGAGGCTCCGGGGCACGGGAACAGCGTGGCATGCTGGGAGCTGGACCTCCCACCGGGCCACGGGGATATGACCAGGCACAGCAGCACTGCACGCTGGGAGCGTGGTCTTGCACCCACGGGCCCAGTGCACGCTGGTGCATGCTGGGAGCCGACTCACTTGATCAGGTAGACGTCGTACTTCCCTGCCGAGCGGCCAGACTTCCTCTGCTTGAGCTTGCGCGTCCAGCCCTCGGGCAGCGTGGGGTCGTCGTACATGGGGCCACGGTCTCGGATGATGGAGCGGCGTTGCTTGGGAGAGGCTGAGGCCTGGGGGGCGGCCGGGGCAGCCCCAGCTCCTTCAGACGTCTCAGCCTTGCCCGCCTCAGCCGGCTCCGCCTCCCGCTGCTTCTCCTTTTTCACCTTTTTGGTCTTCAGGGGCTTGTCCTTGAGGCCCTGCAGATTCTGGTCCTCAGATTTTTCTTCCCTGAGAGGAACCAAAGACATGTCAGGTCTGGGCGGGGGGCCGCCCGTACGTCCCCTGGCCCGGCCCGCGGGGGTGGGGAGGGTGTCTGTGCCGCACCCAGCCCATCTGAGGGCCCGCTCAAGTTCCACACACAAGAGCGAGCCAGAGGACGGGCCAGGAGCCTGGCCCTTGTGACTCGGAACCAGTCTCCTGCAGCGCCCAGCTCAGCGGAGGCAGGGAGCGGAGCGAGCCTCGGTCGGCAGGGGACACGTGGCCCCCTGGCGAGAGCCTTGTCTGGGCCCGGGGGCTCTCTGGGAGCGGCCGATTTTGGGGCTTGGCGGGCTGCGTGCGCCCCTGGGGGGGAAGGGGACACGCTAGGGTCACCACAGTCCGAGTGACAGTCACTAACGCAGCAGCCATGTGGGTTTGGCGAGCCCAAAGCCAGCGGCTGACCAGACTCCAGCAGTAGGTGCTCGCTGCACTGCGCCGTGCCACGCCACGCCACGCCATTCCAGCCGCTAACCTCCCGCACGTGTCTGACAGCGCAGCGACCTGCCACCGGCTTGGGCTCATTTCAGGTCACTTGCTCTGGGTTTCAGAGGCTATTTCTGTTCTAGCTCCAAGTCCCTGCTGTCACCTCGGAGCAACTGGGAAAGTGAAAAAGCTAAAAATGGCTGAGAACTTAGCAACTGGACAGCAGCAGGCTGCAAATGGCAGCACTGAGCAAGAGACAAGCACTGACGGTCCCCATCCCCTTGCTTTACGGGCCGTATAGAAAATGGCTTGACACCGCCTGCCCCGTGGTCCGGTCAGAGGGGGAGAGGCTAACTGGGTTTAGCTTAGACTCGGAGCTATTCTGGTGGATACATCTTATTGATTTGTGATGATTCGACATTGCGCACACAAACCCGTTTGGCAAGGCTGGCGTGTCTGAGACACACAGCATTAAAAGGTGCAGATTTGTACGGGCACTGCATTTCAGACGGGCCCTTCGAAACCAAACTTTCCAACATCACAATGAAACCACAGAGGCTTCGGGCTCGTTTCGCTTTGTTTAGACTCAGGTGACATGTAATACGTATATTCCCATCAAATCAACCTATTTCTATATTCAATGGGGACAGTTAAGATTTGATATTACTTTGACAAACAATAGTGACAAGGGAAAATCTCTTCCGACAGCAGCATATTCATGTTAGTGGTTTTATAGAGATGTCTAGCTAATATGTTCTATTATCAAAACCATTTGAGAAGGCAAAATGTTTCATTTAGACCAAGTAGAATACATTTTTCTTTGCAATTGTAAGATCCTATTTTACAGCAATTTCATATTCCTATAACTGCTTAATACACTGCACCATCTAAAGATTTCAACAAGGCCCACGTCTCAACTCGGCTCTTATCGGTCATCTCTGTGCCCACGCCTCATCTCAAGCCAGCCCGGAGAGGCAAAGGAGCGCTCTTCTGGCCCGTGAGGCCTTTGCGCCATAGCTCCTCAAGGAGGGTTTCTATTCCATGGAAGCGGGCCCCGTGCTTGAAAGAACAGGCTGCTCCTCGGCATTTCCAATCCATGCCGAAAGGGACAATCCTGCTCCGCGAGGGCTGGGTTCCCCAGGCCCACCTGCTCTCTCTAGCCCAAGGACTGCGCTGGCACAAGAGGACACACTGGACACGGAGCAGCAGAAGCTGGGCTGCAGCCCCCAGCCAGAGCGGGCCACACGACGGAGCTAGAGAAGCTGAGGAAGGGGGCAGCCAGGAGAGCCTCGAGGACGTGTTCTCCAGCCCTGCGCACTGCATGTCTGCTGAGGTCTCCCTGCCTCGCTCAGCGGCGGGGCCGGCTGCCGAGATAAATGTGGAGGAGGAGAGGGGAGAAAACAGGAAGTGTCTCGCTGCTCTGTGCTATAATTAATTCACAGACACCCCCCCGTGTTGGTAAACAACAGGCGCTCGCGGGCGCTCTGCTTCTGGGGGGCCAGGGGAGGGGGGGGGGCCGGGGGGGCCTGCCATGCTGCGGGCGTGGGATTTCTGCCAAGGGCACCGAGAGGCATGCCTGGCCGGGGCGGGCGTAATTCTCACACCGGGCACCTGCATATGGGGCAGGAGCCCATGTTTATAGAAGGGGAAACCAAGGCCCAGAATGCATCCAGCCTGGGGCTCTAGGGGCCAAACCGCAAGCCATTCAAGTCCCCGCTGCTGGACTCCCCCCGGCTCAGCCCCGCGACCCAGGCATCCTACACAGGGCTCTGCACGAACAGCAGGCCAGCTGCTCCCCCACTCGGGGCAGGGCTGGCTGGGCCCTGCTGAGCCAGGCGCCCCAGGGGCTGCTGATGCTCGGGCACGGCAGCAGCGCAGGAGGCCCCAGCCCCTGGCACATGGCTAGTTATCAGCCCAGATGCCTGCAGGGCCTACGGTGCCGGGGGGGGGACGACCCGGCAGCGGCCCTGCTAGCAAACCCCATGCAGCGTACACAGCGTCCCAGTGCCCCTGCAGGCAGGTCCAGCCTGAGGGAAGGGGACCACCCAAGAGGGTTGGGGGGCCTAGTGCAAGGCAGGGTGGCCAGCCAGGGAGACACGCAGCGCGGCGGCCAGGGTGGAGCCCAGCCAGGCAGAGCGACGCCAGGACCGGACCCCGCAATTCCCACGACTGGCACACGATGGCGCTCGGGGCTCACACCACAGCAACTGGCTCTGGCGCCTGCCAGGAGCAGAGATTATGGCCAATCGCACGCCCTCCCTCTCCCTGTATGCCGGCGCGGCACCCTTGCCGAGAGGGGTCCTCCCACCAGGCCTGCAGGACCCCCAGCCTGAGACCCGACGCTGCACAGACCCCACCAAGATGGAGGCTCCCACATTAGACCGGGAGTTGCACAGCCCCCTTCCCCTCCCAACCAGTATCAAAGGCCCCGGATGCAGCACCCGGGGGACCGTGGGGGTGTGTTTCTGCACAGCACCCGGCCAGACAGGACCCCCCCCATCTGTCAGGTGGGGAGGGTGGGGGGGTGTTTCTGCATAGAGCCCGGCCAGACAGGCCCCCCCATCTGTCAGGTGGGGAGGGTGGGGGGGTGTTTCTGCATAGAGCCCGGCCAGACAGGCCCCCCCATCTGTCAGGTGGGGAGGGTGGGGGGGTGTTTCTGCATAGAGCCCGGCCAGACAGGCCCCCCCATCTGTCAGGTGGGGAGGGTGGGGGGGTGTTTCTGCATAGAGCCCGGCCAGACAGGCCCCCCCATCTGTCAGGTGGGGAGGGTGGGGGGGTGTTTCTGCATAGAGCCCGGCCAGACAGGCCCCCCCATCTGTCAGGTGGGGAGGGTGGGGGGGTGTTTCTGCATAGAGCCCGGCCAGACAGGCCCCCCCATCTGTCAGGTGGGGAGGGTGGGGGGGTGTTTCTGCATAGAGCCCGGCCAGACAGGCCCCCCCATCTGTCAGGTGGGGAGGGTGGGGGGGTGTTTCTGCATAGAGCCCGGCCAGACAGGCCCCCCCATCTGTCAGGTGGGGAGGGTGGGGGGGTGTTTCTGCATAGAGCCCGGCCAGACAGGCCCCCCCATCTGTCAGGTGGGGAGGGTGGGGGGGTGTTTCTGCATAGAGCCCGGCCAGACAGGCCCCCCCATCTGTCAGGTGGGGAGGGTGGGGGGGTGTTTCTGCATAGAGCCCGGCCAGACAGGCCCCCCCATCTGTCAGGTGGGGAGGGTGGGGGGGTGTTTCTGCATAGAGCCCGGCCAGACAGGCCCCCCCATCTGTCAGGTGGGGAGGGTGGGGGGGTGTTTCTGCATAGAGCCCGGCCAGACAGGCCCCCCCATCTGTCAGGTGGGGAGGGTGGGGGGGTGTTTCTGCATAGAGCCCGGCCAGACAGGCCCCCCCATCTGTCAGGTGGGGAGGGTGGGGGGGTGTTTCTGCATAGAGCCCGGCCAGACAGGCCCCCCCATCTGTCAGGTGGGGAGGGTGGGGGGGTGTTTCTGCATAGAGCCCGGCCAGACAGGCCCCCCCATCTGTCAGGTGGGGAGGGTGGGGGGGTGTTTCTGCATAGAGCCCGGCCAGACAGGCCCCCCCATCTGTCAGGTGGGGAGGGTGGGGGGGTGTTTCTGCATAGAGCCCGGCCAGACAGGCCCCCCCATCTGTCAGGTGGGGAGGGTGGGGGGGTGTTTCTGCACAGCGCCCGGCCAGACAGGACCCCCATCACTGTCAGGCAGGGGCGTGCGGGTGAGCAGCGCCCAGCGAGACAGGGCTCCCATCTCTGTCAGGCGGCGGGGTGTGTGCTTGCGTGTGTCTGCACAGCACCCGATCTGTCAGGCAACAGGGCGTGTGTGTTTCCGTGTGCCTGTGCAGCAGTCTAGGGGGGTGTCCATGCAGCCCTGACCTCAGGATGGCTAAGCCAGAGCAGGATCCAGGGGCGCACCCTGAGAAGCGAGGTACAGCACAGTGGTTTGCACGCAATGGCCCATGGGCGCTGGGCCCTCCACCTGCATCTACGGGGGCTGTCACTGCAGACCAGAGGTTTGCAACCTGGAGTCCGACCGGGTCTCCGGTTTGTAGGGGGCCGCATCTCCAGCCAAATGACTAAGGGGGGCCAAGCCGGCTCGAGGAGCCTGTAGCAGGTGCGATTTCTGGCTTGGGCGGCCAAGGAAGGGCAGCTGCTTTGTGTTTTGACAGCTGGATGGCTGCAGCTCTCTGAATTCCAGTGTCTGCCCCGCCTTGCCCCAAGCTCCCGCACCCATGAAAAGTAACCAGGAGAGGAGAGCTGCCAGGCCCCAGGCTCCATGCACAGCCCCCCCCGGGACAGGGCAGCAGCACGGGGCCCAGGACACTGGGCTCCATTCCTGGCTCTGACCCTTGGGTGCACCCTTCCAGCCTCGCTTAGCATTCCACCTGTCCAGCCAATCTCGGCAGGGAGCTGGGCCTGGTGTTAACACCTGGCTGGCTCTGGAAGGGGGTGTTAACGCGGCTCCGGCTGGCTGGCACTGCACCAGTTACAGGTCTAGGGCTGGGAGTTTGACAGGATTAGCAGTTTGGAGAACGGGCGCCACATTTCACCCGTCTCTGGTACCTGA